AATTTGTTGTGCGTTTTAGTCATTTTATAATTTTTTTAAATATATCTATAGTTTTCGTTAAGCTTTAGTTGTTACAATAGCACTTAAACTAAACGAAATTAGAAATGTTGAAATAGCTTAAATAATTTTGTTACATTTTTAGTTAATTTGTTGTGCGTTTTAGTCATTTTATAATTTGTTTAAATATATCTATATAGTTTTCGTTTAAGTTAATGTTTTTTATTTCAAGTAATGAATTTATGCTTTATTTTATTTTTTGTATTTTTAAAATGTATTTTATTTTAATTTTTTATGTGAAGACAAACTCCATTCTGGCACATTCATACATGGCCCGGTCAGTCATTAATTCACACTCAATGACTCGGATCAGAGTGATTATAACTTTTGAAACACAATTGTAAGAAAAATAAATATGTATTTAATCATATTTGAGTGATGCATATTAGCTAGATCTATTAGATTTTATGAAGGTAAAGAAGAAAAAATTTAATGTAACATAAAATGTCAATATGGTCTCTAAATGTAAATTAATAACAACACTTCAAAGTTTGAAAATACAACTTTCAACAGATCTCCATTTTTTTTTTTTTTTTTTTTAAGTGTAACTAAATAACGGGGAAATCTTCATTTTGTTCAATTTCAAGGAAAACAGGACTTTTGCATCCCCAGTAAATGTATCTTGATTTAAGGATGTTTAGATATCTGTACTGGAAAACAACACAGAAACACTGAAAAATATATATATTTTTTTTTTTTTGCAATGCATGCAACATTTATACCCATGAATTTAAGACTTTCTGCTCTGATTTACAAGCTTTTTAGGCCTTAATTAATAGTAACAGTAAATAAGAGCCACAGAAACCCGACGCAGAACTGATTCTTTCATTGATTTCTGACACATTTCTGAGGAAACCCATGATGCACGAGGGCTCCGGGTTCATCTGACGTCAGCGAGGTTTAGTTCACGTCACAGATGCATGATGGGAGCGCAGAACGTCACATACTCATGTGCGAGTGTAACAAGGCTTGTGCTGTCCAGAATAAAACTAGTTCCAGTTGAAATCATATTGATGTGTCACTATAACGGCGTCCAAGATTAACGTTAACACACCGGCGGAGTAAAACGGGCTTTTGCTTTATGATGTTGCAAAGATATAGCACAGAACACGGTTTAAGAATATTCATCTCCTGCGAGTGTTCTGAAATCTTTGATCTTGTTTCAGCCGCGTTTGGAAGATGCGAGTTAATCGGTCACTTCAATCTAAACTAAAACTTCATTCTTCACTAAACGTTTCCACAGAAAAGCATGCTGCTAAAATCTACAGGAACCTTGAAAACCAGAAAACAAACAATAGAAAGGTCAAAAGAGGCTCGTTCACAACGAGAATCATAACTACAACAATATTCAGGCTTAACTTAATCTTCAGTAATATTATAGATTAAACAGCACTGACAATATCAGGAGAATGGAATTGATCTGAATATTGTATTCTCTAGAGCTGCATTCGGATTAGTTTCATAACTGATGAATTTTGCATCATTAACGGTTATTTTCCAGTTTGTATTTCTACTTTGAATCAGTCTGTACTGTATACAGTGTTAAATGTGACTTGACACATTGAGATTCCTATCGCTCTGCCGTGTCGATATCGTTATGATTGTAGTGCGATTATTAAAATGAATTATCGTTAGAGTTATCGTTCCTGCTGTGAACAGGCCTTTAAAATAGAGTTAGTGATAAAGAGAGAGAAACTCAACTCATGCTCGTTATAACATCTAGTCTTCATCTCTAGATTAAAGTCTTAACTACCTACTAATTGTAATAGCTACTCTACTGTCGTTTAAATTTTTTTTTTTGTTACTCTGATGATGTTTACCGTATGAACATCTTTTGCTTGATTTTCTTCACTTTGCCAATATAAATGATGTTGTCATGCTGATAGAAAAGTCTGTCAGTCTGAGTTCGGGTGATTCTTCTTCTTCTTCTCCTCTTTCTCCTCTTCATCATCGCTTAAGAAGAGCAACGGGAACATTCCCAGAATGCATCCGATAGCGATGCCGATGGCTTTACCCTGAACACACACACACACACACACACAGTGGAGATTAAGAAGCTGCGGAAGACTCTGAACAAACCGGAAACACACACACACACACACACACACACTCTCACATACACACACACACACTCATACACACACACTCTCACACACTCATGCATACACACAAAGAGTGGAGATTAAGAAGCTGCTGAAAACTCTATGAACAAACCGGAAACACTCACACATGCACATTCACACTCTCACACTCACACACACTCTCACACTCACACACACACTCTCGCACACACTCATGCACGCACACTCTCACACGCACACTCTCTCACACACACTCTCTCACACACAAAGAGAGGAGATTAAGAAGCTGCTGAAGACTATGACCAACCTGGAAACACACACACACTTGCACGTACAGACACAAGCAAACTCATGCACACTTGCCTCGCACATACAGGTGCACACACGCAAACTCACACTTACATACTTGCACACACACACACACTGCAAACTCGCATGCACACTCGCGCATACACACAAACTCACAAGAAAACTCGTGCACACACTTGCATGCATATGCGTACATGCAAACTCACAAGCAAATGCTGACTCACACATGCAAGCTCATCACACAAGCAAACTCAATGCTGACACACACACACACACTCACTGACTCACACAACCTCAGCACACACTCGCATGCATACACTCAGACGCAAACTTGTACACTTGCACGCACACACTCACAAAAGCAAACTCATGCGCACACTCATACATGCATGCAAACTCACACTCACATCCACACAAGCAAATGCTGACTCACAAGCACACTCACACGCACACAAACACACAGGAGTGTCTCACCATGTGTGAAGTGACTCTGGTCTGCCACATATCCACTTGTTTCGGTGCGAGATCAGGAATCTGCATCCCTAAGCGAGCAGCCAGAGCCTCCACGTAACCTGCTAAACTACACACAGCATTACTAATACACACAACTAGTTAATCCACACACACTGTTAGTGAAGCTGCTTACCCGAGTCCAGCCAGATCAGACACCAGGTTCCCCAGAGCTGCGGCTGAAACACAGTCAAAGACCATCAATGAAGCTTCTGTGTGACAAACCACAGGACGAATCTCACCAGAACCAGATCTCATCGCAAGAAATTATATTTAAATAAGCATAAATTAAATACAACAGATAATGCATCAATGCTTTAGAATTTGTTATTTCTTTGCATTAGATCAGGATCTCACAAACTGGTATGAGTTCAATTCAATTAAATTATAATAAAATGCAATTAAAATAAAACACTTACTAAAAAGATTATATATTGCATTTGAAATAAATGAAAATGCATAACTTTAAAAACAATCCAAAATAATTACAAAAATTATATGAACCATTTCATTTGGAATAAATAGAAATTAAATAAATACGTGCTAAATAAAGATATGTTACATGAAATAAAATTGCTCAAATAAAAAAAAACTGATATTGTATCTGAAAACAATCATTTAAATAATTTTAAATTAAAATTAAACAAAAAACTATATAATTTATTTGTTTAGCTGCATGTCATGTGACCAATAATTGTCATCGGAGAATCATGAACATGCAATCGTGTTGTTAAATGAAAATCTCAGGAGCTTTCAAGCAAATATTTGA